GTCAGGATTTGATTCAGAATCTATTTTCTGACTGGCCTTACAGATTTGAGTTTTGGGGAATCTGATGATGTTGTAGCATCATTTTTACTTAATTACAAATATGCCAAACGTCTTATCAATAAAGATCGGGAATTCAAATAGAGCTTGAATTGCATGCAGTAATTCAGTTTGCTGAAAGGCGAGTGAATGAATACGTACCATCCTGGAGCCTCAGCTGTCGCAGGTACAGGGGACTTTGAAGGACGTTACACCTGCCAGGCTCGTCTTCTCTGGTCACCAGCATCAGGTCACTGTACACAAATACTGTTACCTAAAGGACCAAAGGGGCAAAGTGGAAAAGGAAGATGGATAAGAGAGGGGTGGTAAATTTGTTAAGATTAAAAAAAAAAAAAAGAAGTGAAGAAGGGTTTTGAAGGAGGGAAACAAGGGAGAGAGAAAAAGACAATATTTGGTTCCATATTCAATTCTCAAATCTCACAAACAAGATGTACATACATCACCTTAAAATCGAAGAGTATAACCCCCTGCTAAAGGTTTTTCCCCAAAGACTGTATAAAGCATGGACACAGTCTCAGTGACATCACCCACTGGTGTTTTGATGATGGTCATTGTATTGGAAATGCTATCTCTACCCAACCTTTGACCAACCTTGTAACAGACAACAAGATGGAACTGAGGCAGGCCTTAAACCTCCAGGAAAACAGCTACTAGACCCTCATCTGTTAGTCAACTTAACCACCCCCCAAATTCTGCAAATGTATAAATAACGCTGAATATTAGCCTGAAAACTGATATGTTATAACATAATTCCACCCCTGTAGAGTTTTAAGCATTTTTAACATTAAGAGCTATCGTGACTAAAACCGTTTTTCCCCCATCAGGCTGCAAACATGTTAATTTTTACTGTTAAAATTGGCATTTCAACATTAGACCTAATGGGGATTCTTTGGCTATTGTAGCCAGCCTCAAGTGGACACTGTAGGTTGCTGCACGGTTGAGAACATGGAGCAACTTATGTAGAAAAGCCTTCTCAATAATAAAGTGTATCTAATGTCTCATTGGCTTCATTTATCATCACAGGAGGTTGCCGCTTGGTTTCCCCTCCACATCTGTCCTAGCACAATAAATGCACTGAACACATTCACAATAATGAAAACGTACATGTATCCACATCTTACCTTTTAGCTTAATGAATTTTAACACTTTGTTAACATGCATGGACTATTCACCTTTACTTTAAATTCTCTCTTTGTTCATTTACATTCACAGTTTGTTTCATGTTAGTTTCAAATTGGATTAGATTTAGATGATGTGTAATGGCACAACGTGTCCAGGAAGTAACACGTCTGCAATGCTACTAGCTTAAGGCATGTCAGTTACTTTTGAACTACATCAGTGTCAAACAGCATATAAGAATATTATAATAGCCTGCTGTTTATTTGTATAGCAACAATATCCAGTCCATTATTTCTGTTTATCTATGGGACAGAGCCGCTTTCACTAAAGAGGACTCATTTTGTTTCCCAAGAAGTGTGAAAATACTCTTTTTCTCATCATTTATAATGTGACAAAAACATTTATTTAATACACCTTTAAGTATCCCTTTCATTGCTGAAAAGAAACAGATTGCTGATTATTTATTGCTCACATGTAACGATAACTAAATGTTGGGCAAGAAGAGGCAGCACTTCAGCCTGAAGCCTACAGTATAATATGCAAACTCCCAAACATGTCTCAGAAATATTTCAGAGATTTCAGCCTCATTTGGATTTGAAACAGTTGTGCAGATTGCTGTGACAGCCCTCGACTGGCTTTATGCTTGTGCCGTGGTAAAGGGACTAAAGTCGTGCCAGTCGGGCATTCGAGTGAATACATTAAAAAAAAAAAAAGGAACAAAGGGTAAAAAAAAAAAAAAAATGCAGAGGAAAAAGTAGATTGTATAAAAATAGCTTAAATGTAAGTGTGGAAATTCATGATGTGAGTTTGTGCTTTCATGCAACATAACAGGCACACGGTCTAATTCATGTAGATGGGCAATGTGTCAAGACAATGCTTTTACTTTAGTGGCTTCCTCTGAGGGGTGAGATAGCAGAGAGGGTGTTTCAGACGGAGCCAGTATGTGGTTAGCGTGTGTGTGTGTGTGTGTGTGTGTGTATGCGTTTGTGTGCGTGTGTGTGTGTGTGCGTGTGTGTGTGTGTGTGTGTATGCGTTTGTGTGCGTGTGTGTGCGTGTGTGTGTGTGTGTGTGTACTTAGATTGTTTAAGTTTGAGTGGGTGGAAGAGGATGTTAGAACATGGACAAGGCAAATGAAAGGCGGGCAGCAAACTGTTTTACATGACAAAAAACACATGAACACATACACGCGCACACACACACACACACACACACACACACATGCACACACACAAAATGTAAAACAAAACGTACTGTAACAAAGGCTTTCAATGATTGCTTTAATAAATGATTCTAAATGAATGTTGCTGCTCCACATTTACGTTTAAATGCATTTCACATTCTGAACAATGTTTAAACTAAAACATATTTGAAGTCATTATTATAATTTTGTAAGACCTGTATGAAGGTTCAAACCTTGTTCGAGGGCTGTAATGTCACCTTGGGTGAAATCAAATATGCAGCATTGTTTTCGCTGTTCGTGTGCAGATATTCTAATGGAAGTTATTCATGTTTGTATAATCAGACGTGTTTGTGTGTTTGCCTCGCAGGCAGACTTATAAAACTGTGGTGAATAAAAAGTCAAAGCTGGAACAACACTGACGTATCATTAAAAACAGATCCTATAAAGAGGCTCAGTGGAGAGAAACTCCCTCCCAACAAACTCTGGCTGTTAAATATTTGTTTTATGTCCGACCCCCAGAGAGAGGGGGCCGGAATTATCCTCCATGCCAGCAGTCACTGCACTTCAGTGCACCGCAAGGATTATCTGACAGGGCTTATTAAAGAACGGCAGCTAGAGCCTGAGTCGATGAAACGACACTTTCTTCACCCTCTCGCTCAAAATACACAAGACTTTGTTAAGGTTCTGGAAACAACAATATTAGAATAAGGGCATGTCAGGTTTCCTCAAAGTCTCAGCAAAATAATCACCTTGAAGAATTACTTTTTTGTTTTTGCAGACGAAGGGCTTTTCCTTTTAGGGACAAATTATTTATTAACTGAAAGATAAGCAAATCATTTTAAAATCATTTACAGAAATATAATTCCAAACACACACTCTCTCTATATTCTCACACACACACTCTCTCTCTCTCTCTCTCTTTCTCTCTCTCACACACACACACACACACACACACACACACACACACACACACACACACACACACACACACACCTCACTTTTTGGGGTCCAATGTGGACAAAGTCGTATATCTTATCTCTTCACTGCTCTTGCCTTTGACATGTTTCAGTCACATTTGTAGTGAACGACCTCATCCTGCTTTCAGAAACAGTCAAATGTACCACAATATTTACTGTGGAAAAAAAGAAAGCTGTTTCTGCAGCATGAGGTCAATGACACCTACCCCTGTGTCAGCAGTTTCAGGCATTATTAATAACTTTAGATAAATTATACGTCCTGTAGCTGATGGGTTTGTTTGCTTTTGAAAAGAGGCGTCAGTATTTATTTCAAACTGTTTCTTTACCAGCTGAAGAATCCTCACAGGAGCTTTAAGTTAGCTATCCAGGGAACTGAGCTGACAGGTACTTACTATATTATAAATGTGAGTCATTCTGGGTAAGAATGCATTAATTGATTTTTATCTTCATGTCCTGAAAGTATACAAAGTATTTCTAAAGCATCCATAAAACCCTACATTTTTTATTTCTTGATTTTCTGCAGAATATCTGTCTAAACTTTTTATAATAATGTATTACATATTTTCCACTTCATGCAGAAATGAAGAAAACCTTCCTCAGTGAGCTTAATAAAATGTGAAAGCTTCATAAATATATATAGAAGGAGCTACAGCTCCTGTTGATACATAAAACAGAATTTCTCTGTCAGTCAGACCTTTGGCACCAGCCATATTTATCAATTATTCATCTTCCTCGTCTGATGTGGGCCGGAGAGTTCAGAGAGGTACAAATTCTCGGGGCCTATCCTACTCCTCCTCTCATAATGTGCCTCTCTTTTTGTTCTCTTTGTCTTTATACACACAAAACTGTAAACACACACACATTTTGACTTTGGGATAACGCACCGTCACTTTAAGTCTGGTCAAATAACCAAAACATGCAAGTGTTTGTGACAAAGTGACAAATGGTATATAGCTACAGGAGAGGAGAGGAGAGGAGAGGAGAGGAGAGGAGAGGAGAGGAGAGAGGAGAGGAGAGGAGAGGAGAGGAGAGGAGAGGAGAGGAGAGAGGAGAGGAGAGGAGAGGAGAGGAGAGAGGAGAGGAGAGGAGAGGAGAGGAGAGGAGAGGAGAGGAGAGGAGAGGAGTTACATTTGACTTCATGCATCTTAGATATTTAGCTAATTTTCAAATAAAGGTTTTGAAACCCTCTTCTTTGATTTGTTCTAAAACAGAATTAAGGGCTTAAAGACGATGCTGTTTAAACAAAGATATCATGTTTATATATATATATGCCTTTTCGCTTTGCCCTTAATGCCTATTTGTCTCTTCTCATGTTATCTCACCAGTACAGTAAAAAAAAAACAAATACATTAAAACAAACACGTTCAGCCCACACATGCACACATCGTCCATCTTTAACACACTGATGCTGCTTACCTTAAGAGAGTGGTGCTTGCTCTCATGTAGAATCATCTCCTCAGATATGATGAGAGCTCGGCTGCACAGGTCCAGAGGCTGCACATGAAACAAAACACCAGACAGATTAACCTCATTTATTCAACCTGATTGTATTCTTTTCTAATCAATATTTCCTCTAGATCTTCATCACTGACTACAGTATACTGATGGATGTATTCCTCTTGGTAAGCTGTCAGATCAAATGATCTAGTTACAGTTTCTCAAAAAGTTTGTAAAGTTGTATTTTCTAGATAGAAAGATAAGTACCAGATCCATTTTGGCTCCACTGTGCATAAGATCTGCTAAACAGCAAGCTTTTCTCTACTGTGGGAAGCACAACTGAAACAGTTTGGACTAAGAAGAAAAGGAAGTTGCGACAGTGTGGCGCTGTGTGTGTGGTCTGTGTACGATGAGACACTGACACTTAGGATGAGCTTGTACGACGGCGTGGGCGGAGGAGACTTCCTTTCAAGTCCAAGGTGTGACACAGAGCCAATTCAGCGTATGAAAGTATCATGTTCAAACTTTGTGTGAAGTCAGGCTCAAGGTTTCTATATGAATTTACAGGAAGTACCAGTTTTGCAATGACTCAGGCCTTGACCTGAGTCATTGCCCCTGAATATTTGGAGCTATTCTGCCCTGAGATAAAATACAAACGTACTTCCCAATTGTCAAAGGACAAGAGTGAAAATGTATTTGTATATTTTTATCATAGACTGTAAATATTAGCAGATGAAGGCTGAGTGATGTCACTGATCTGTTACTTCAGGGGGCTCCAGAGGCTTATCAGCAGCTGCCGCTATGCTGGAAATGCTCTCACCCTAACTTTCAGTCAAAGTAACAACAGGCTGAGAGCTGGAGCTGAGGCGGGTTTTAAACCTCCTGAAAAACCTTTACATCCCGCCCAACTGTCAATCATGTCAGCTATGCGCCTAACTATGGATAACACGTATCGTTCAAACAATCAAAACGGATGCATTGTAAAATAATTCACACCCCCGTACAATGTGTGTCCATGATGACAATAACTAATCAGACTGATGGGGTTTTTTGTACCAGGCTGTATAAATGTTCATTTCTGGCTTTTATGGGATGTTTCTTCTGGGGCTCCTGGAGCCAGCCTCAAGTGGACACTCAAAGAACTGCAGCATTTTGCACTTCTGCATTGGCTTCATTTTTTTTACACAAAGTAGAGATGCACTGATCGTGAAAATCAGGGCTGATACTGATGTTTAAAATAACAACTTGGCCGATTGCCGATATGGATGTTTTTTTTATTACTTCTTTCGTTGTAAGATTCCCTTGATGCCAACATTTTCTCTCATGTTTGATGACGGAAGCGGATCAGAGTTTGTCCAACAGGTGATTTCTTTTGCCCCATAAAAAAAAACCTCTTCTCTGAATCAGCAGTTCAGTACACCAGCTCACCAGCATTTAATTGATGACACTCAACCGATACACAACAGCTACTAAAATCCATGCATGCCACATTATTCACAGATGACTTCACGTCTGTCAACAGGGCTGATACAGATGTTCATCCCAAACACAAAGTGAAACTTACACTTTGTGAAGCCTTTGATGGGTCAAACAATTAATACAGAAAATCATCAAAAAGGTAAATAAACAGTTTAGCTTTAAACTTTATTATCACATATAATTTACTTACATTATTTCTACAAGGTCTATATGTCTCCTCTCACACAGACTGTCAATAATCATCTGCAAATCAAGAATGTGTTTGGTTTGTATATCTAGCCTGCCTGACTGAATTTAAAATCTTCATACAAAAAGGTCGAGGTTTTTCTTAATAGGAAACCTCAAACAGCTATTTCCTTTGACCCATATTCTCTGTGGGAATCCATCATATCTAGAATGAAACCTAGAGTGTTTATCTAGAATTTGTTCATATTTTGCACTATTATTCACAGATTTCCTATTGGATAGTTTTTTAGAGCATAAGATGCATATCACAGTAACATTCAGTACATGTGTTAAGTCTGACCAGGCCTCTCTCTGTCCCTACATACAGTATCTGTTCATCTTTATAGTGCACCGCAAACTGACGGTATCTTTGTAGAAGAAAAGTTATGTGTCCCGAAATGTCAAACAGTTTATTTCTAAATCTTACAAAGGAGAAAATCAATACCACTTTTAATTCTCACTACTAGATACAAAGTGACAGATGGCTTCATGTAGCACAAGGAGAAAAAAAGATCTATATTATGATTTGTGTATTTTTATCGTTCAGTTTGTTCCCTTGTTGTAAAAAGTTTAATTTAGTTCAATGAAGAGGTTCGGGTTACCTTAACTTCTTTGCTCAGCTTCTCTCTTGCTATTATTCCTGTACTGTATGTTTGATTATTTAAAAATTCCCATGCACGAGAGGATACTTTCATTTTGCTTTTCTTTACTTACTTAACATAAAACCTGGGGAAAAAAAAGCTGTTTTCACACATGCACCGTTCTCAGGAGGCAAGGCACTGACGTAAGAAAGACGCTGCGTTACATGATGTCCCACGATGATCAAATACAAGATCAATGCGATGTGTACTGTACGTATTCAAAGTAGAGTCTGACCGATCAATTGGCCAGTCGATAGTATCGGCCGATATAAGCATATCAAGTGACAACATCAAGTAAGAATGGCTTTCAAACAACACATAATCATACCTAAAACGCAAATAAATCGGCTTACCTGAACAAAGATGGGGAAGATAAGTATCTTAGGAGCCACTTTGACGTATCCATAGTTGGTGTGTGAAGTGTGCGAGCGCACAATGGTACAGTTTTGGTAGTTGGCAAAGTTGGAGTTCTGCTGTTGGAAGTTTTGTGCACTAGCATTTGTGGAGGTGGAGCAGTCTTGGTTGTCTTGGAGTTGTTAGACCGCCGTAGGAATCCTGTGCGATTAGAGAGTCCTAGACCACCGCCGCCACTACCACCGCCACCACCACCAGCACCTCCACCTCCTCCAGAGAAAGCAGCCCCACCACCACCCTGAGGCTGTTGACCAGAGGCCTGCCGTGAGGGGTACACCCGGGCAGCTGTGAAACAAGAGGCGGAAGGCGAAGCAGGTCATTACAATTCCTGGAGCCGTTTTTTGTTGTAAAAGTTAATTTGGATGAAGTGATGATGACTCGTTAAGGAGAACCTAAACAGTTAAACATTTTAGGGAACACACTTGTTTCTTTTTTTATAGGATCCTACAAATTCTTACATTTCTGCTAACAAACATAAACATGGAAGAAGGTGTTATTAGCTTAGCATTAAGACTGGTAACAGCTGACTCGGCTCTGATGAACAGTGACAAAATCCTCCAACCTATCCTATCTAACAACTCAGTAATGTTCATGTTTCATCGTGTTTATTTTATCCACGTACAAAAAGAGTTCCTAGGTGAAAAATATACATTTAAAGACTGCGTCTAAAAAAAGTGTTTCAGCAGTGTACTGTTAATCCCTTTGTTTGACACCTACCCACAGCGGATTTTAACATTTAAAATCCTTCAGAGAAAAAGTCAAAACAATATGCTTTTGGTAACATAATCATACAAAGTAATTATTATTCAGTTTATTCTTTTCATAACCAGTTTAAAATCTTTGTTTGAGCTTTGTTTCTTTAAAGGAAGAATGTGCGACATTTTACAAATTACAGCCTGTGTAAATGTCTCTGAGTCATGACTGTCTTCGATGAGTGAGAAGCTTGAGTCCCACCAGCTGTACTTTGTCAGCGCTGTGTTTACATCATGTTTACATGGGGACGGGACGGCCTTGTGTATGAAGCTGTTTTAGTGAAGGACTAGAGAAAAGAAGAATAACATAGTCTACTCTCTAGATCACAGGGAATTACAGCTCGAGCCAAGAAGAATTTAATCCACGGCCTGTGCTTCATGATGTTTAATTATGGTGCTTTCTGATTGATAACTCCTTCATGTGAACGCGAGTGGAGAGGTGTTGGAGGTGTGCCGCTGGAGGAGAGCGCAGGCTTCAGAATAGCGGAGGTGTGGCCAAACAGCAGTTTGTTTTGGTTTCATGCTGGTGCTCAAGGGCGACATCTACTGGATCAAAAAGTTGCACATTCTTCCTTTAGGAAAACAGGCGTTATACAGTGAGCTTCAAAATAATTCTGTATTTTCTTTGTTTCTTAGGTTAGTTCAACTTAAGACTACTCCAGTGTGCCAAATGTTAAATAAATGTAATCCCATTCATTAAAATAACAACAACCTAAAATGTAAAGTCAAAAATTTAATTAACACTGGGCTGCATCCAAAAAATGAAAGGCACAACCAAGCCAAATTAAACAAAGGCTTCTGGCCAAAATATAAAGACGAGTCCAGAGCAGCTTTTAACATAATGTTGTCGGAGTATGAACATTATATAATGTGCATGTCTTACCTAATGTACCCTGGTTGTCTTGATAAACAGGCCGTAAGATCTGAAAGTAGAATAATATCCAATTACATTCATATAAAAGTCACAAAGAAAACTTGTTGTGATTACAGGTAAGTCTTGACTGAGGGAAAAAAAATCCAAAAATCCAATTGAATTAATGATATTAGATACAGTTTGCTAATTGATTCATGCTAAATTAAAATTAAAATTAATTCAGATACGTACAATACATTCTTAAACTTATTTTCTTCATTGTAATATTTATGATATAATATGGACAGGATAGGATTGCCATGACAATATGATGTATGATGTATATCCTCATTATAATAAATGACACATGATGAATGAATGAAAAATGAATCTGGTGTTAATAAAATGTTTATTCCTCCACATTTTCTAAACCTGCTTTATGTGGTTTCATGCAGTGAGCGTGTTGTTCAGGGAACAAGCTGGACATGATAACGTGGAATTGACTGCATGAAAATTGAATTTCGGAGTCTAGGATTTAACTGGACTCATCTGAGCTGCAGTGAATGTGGTGAGTCAGTGAAGGGTTCAACATGTCATAACAAATTAAGATCAGCTGAGGGAGCAAAGACAGAAAGCTGCCACCACATCACATGTTGTTCGGGGTATAACAGCAGGGTTCAGAGAGATATTGAAAGCCATACTATGTTTGACACATTATGTTAGGAGCTAGGTTATCATGATGAATCTTTTCTGTAGTGTGGGCTATAAAAGGACAAGAATATTGTGTCCGTGTGATATGTTACCAACATGACCCATTTCCGCAGGGCTTTTGGTATATTTAGCCACCACAAAGTCTCACCACAATCCCTTCCTCCTTTTTGATTTTGGATAGGAGTGGTGGCTGTTTGAAGGACATTTCCCTTTCATTAAAATGTGCATCAATTTTTTTTTTGCAGAAGGCTAAAAACTCACTAAATCATTTTGGTGTGATTTTTAGGAATGTAATTCTTTTTATTTCTAAAAATATCTCTCTTTATGTTTTTAAATGCTCACTCCACATGCAGTACAATGTCCCTGAACTGAACCCTATATCGTTCACAGATGAAGACACACATCTCCACATAACAGACAGACTTACGAGACATGAGACACAGAGGGAGAGAACCTGAATAAGATCATCAAACTGAACCACTAAGCCTACATATGACAGCAAAAGATGTTAGTTTGTTTTTAGAGGAAATGTTTTTGGAACAATTTGGAAACTATTAGCTCAAAGCTCTATGCTAACCTCGACTGTACTCTGCTTTTGAAGGTCTTTAAAATGTATCTGGTTCAACGTTCATGTTAGGCTGCGCTTGATTACAGGTTAGTGTTTTCTTGTTAGTTTTGTTAGCTGAGGAATTCAGTTCAGTCTTTTTGATTGAATGAGTTTGCTTTATTTTATTCTTTGATCAAAGCGTTTACCTTGTATACATGATGTCACTTAATGAAAAAATGGAAAACAAACTGTATAAAATGTATTTTACATGTTATATTTAAACTGCTCATTGTGCAAAAGGACCAGTGTTTGAAAAGAAGAATTTAAATACAATTTGGTCGCATTTTTTCCTCTGACTAAAAACAGTTTTTTAAAACAATCAGGCACGGCTGGTATAAACAGGCCAGCAGGGCTCAGCCCTTCCTTTCCTAAACAATAAAGATGAGAATTTCTTTCATCCTATATCATATAGAATGATTAATTTTTTTATGTATTCATTTTCTTTTAATTTTGTGTTGTGCCTAGAGTTACAACTAAACCTAATGGTTACAAGACAAACACAGGATATCTCTAAATTGGCATATTTTTTACAGCACTGTGGCATCCTCTTCCATTCACTTCTGTATTGTTTATGTGTGACAGGCACGCCCTGTGATCATGACACGCTCCCTTTGAATGGCTGAACATTTTGGGCTTAATTAATTAACACAGGCAACCGACTTTTGACCAATGACAAACTTGTAGCATTCACAGTCGGCAGTGATGCAAAAAAAAAGTAATTGAGCATCTGGTAACTGAGGGAACAATCTATAAAACCTGACATTGTTAAATAAAATAGATTGTTTCTGAAGTTTAAATTACAGCTGATTCTCAACAGCCATTTCCATTATGTGTTAGCATCAAGCTAACAAATCTAGATGTACAGCCCAGGTCAATCTAGGAGAAATGACACTCCTGGAGAATAATGCACCAGCCGCCACTGAAAATAGTGATTTATGATCTCTGGCACAAAGACTATTTATTCATTCTATGTGATATCTGTGAGATAAATTATGTCAGAATCAAATGCACTGTTTTTCTATCATGAACTGTATTAAGTTGATAGAGTGTAATAAAAAATATTGCCCAAGCTTCACATAGTACAGGCATACAAAATATTATCAGCAGCTAGTTATATGTTATTGTGTCCTCTTGCTATTCAGTCAATTCCTCCACATATAAATGACACTGAGCTGTACTCAGTGTGAGTTCAGAACATGTCTCAAAGCACAAATCAGTGAGATGACATTAACCCGAACGGCACAGACACACACAGTCCTTCTATCTATCAGCACCGGGGATGTAAGGTAAGGAGACATATCTAGGATGAGCCACCATATGACCGTGGTGAGGATGAGGAGGACGAAGGAGATGATGAAGATGCAGCCCACCACCAGTTTGAGGTACCTGGCTTCCGGGGTTGATGGGGGCCAGAATGATGTAGTTGTCCCCGTTGGACGCCTTCACCCTGGTGCCCTTCAGCGTGGCAGTGTGAGGGTGGTGGAGGTGTCGCGGCTTCCCGTCCAGCTCCTCCGCCGAGCCTCCCTGAGCCCCCCACCCGAGGGTCCCTAAGCCTACGCCGCTGCTGTTTCCAGCGTCTGAGCCGTTGACGAGCAGGCGGCGGGCGGCGGTGGCACGGTGGTGGGCTGGGAGAGGCGGCACGGCTGGGGGGGTTTTGCTGGTGCCAGGGTCTGGCACACGCCTGCGAGCAGGTGGTGAGGGGGCATCGTAGTTTGAGGTGGAGGGCTTGTAGGAGGGTCGGTGGATGAGGCCCTCGAAATTAGGCTTAGCTGAGGGGCCTGTGCGCCAGACCACCACTGTGATTTCATTAGAGCTGTTTCTACAAAGAAGAAGAAATGACGCGTTGATGCAATGAATAAACAGTTTGTAAAACAGGAAATACTTTGCATGTATCTGACGTAACATTTTAGGACATTTCAATCTTAAATATGTATCTAAAAAATATGATTTCAATAAAATCCAAATGAATAAAAAACTGTATTATGTTATTAAAGGTGTTTCTGTTTTAATAAGCAAATAATGTCACATCAGAACAACGGTCAAATCCAAAACAGCTTCAGGAACAAGGAAGTTATTTACTGAAATCATACAGATGTTCTCAGGTTATCTTTAGATAAACAGAACTTGATGAGGAAGAAATCTTACTAATCTGATTTGTGACTAAAAATGAACTGGTTCATCGCATTAATTTTATTATGTTTATTAGATATCTGTAAAGTCTGAATTGTGAGTTTTATTCTTGTTTTGAGAACTTATTTTAAGCATTTTTACGAGACATTTTATGTGATTAAATGTTTTGATGTTCTGTGTTAGATGTGTCTTGTCTCCCTGCATGTCTGTCTGTCTGTTTATACACCTGAGTCAGTAATGTCATGCTCAATAAATAAATAAAGGAGTATAAATTTAAAAAAGTGTTTCTTTGCGACAGGCAATTGGTTCTCCCAAATTTACCGATCTCACTGCACCACAGGTCGTGTTCAGCCATTCATGCAGATCATAATGGATCAGTTTACTCTTCAGGTCGATCAAAATTAACTCAAAAGGAGTCCAACAGATAATCATTACAAATCCCTGATCCAGGGCCCAGAATAAGCCTATGAAAAGCATTCTCTAACATTTGGGTTTTAAATCAGTCTATAATCCTCTATCCTGTTGGACTCATTACCTGATAGCGTGGGCTAGGTCCACACATTTCCACTGCTCCACCGGCTGACCGTTTAGCTGCAGGAGAGTGTCCAACTGCTGCAGACCTGCCTGATCCGCCGGACCCCCTGCCAGAGTGAGAGACTTAATGAGTTCAATGATTAAGCACAGTCAGATTCCTTCACTCTCTACAGCACTATAGTTTCAGATTACTCTTAATGGTTCAGTATAATGAGGCTAATTTCAGTTTGCATTGCCACTCATCTCTCAACAGGGAATTGATCAGATCGGATCGAGCACACTGTCCAAAGACATGACGGCAGCGTGGACGCATATGACAGACAGGCTCTCTATTCTAACCTATCTTCAACACACTGCTGCTTAAGAGGATGCTGGACAGAAAGTGAAAATAAAGTTTCTCATGTGTGAACTGAAACTTTATTAGATAGGAGAGCTGAAGAGAGAGAGAGAGGACATTTGGGGAGCAGAGAGTTAAAACAATTACACTCTTGAGCACATATATTTGCAATCATGGTTTTAAATTATATGTGTTTATTATATGCGTTTTATGTGTCTTGTGATACGTTCAAGGTGTGCGCACACAAAAGGATGTTTTCTTTGATTTTTCGGGTGTTGGTCGTAAAATGAAAGTTGAACTGTGAAGTTTTATGTAAATCTTGGAGATACGTTCCTTCATTTTTAAACACCTCGGGTCCAAAAGCCAAGCAGGAGTGACATCAAAATTTAAACAACAACCTCTTTGTGTAGAGTCGAGTTCAACTCAGACCGACATGCTCATGTAAAAAAAAAATAAAAAAATAAAAACTTGCCTGGATCGACAGCCTGCACCCTCACAGGGGAGTCTGAGCAGATGGTGAAGCCATATCCATCCTTTCCTCGAAGGATAGTCACCTGTAGGACACACAACAGACACACACAGAGTCAGTTTGTGATAGAAAGATAGGACTTCACTCTCTCTCTCTCTCTCTCTCTCTCTCTCCTCTCTCTCTCTACCTAAGGAACCAGAAGTAGCATGCTGGCAAAATAACCGACTTCCTTCCCACAGGATGATTAAATAGACTTTTATTCTGCTACATCCGTTTAAAACTGTCCAGACAGCAGTTTCCCAGTGACCCCAATTACCAGAGACTGTGGGTAAAATAACTCCCAGAGAAGACGAGCAACGACATTCCTGGTCCAGTGTAGGTCAAATTAAATATGCTGAATTTACTCAGAGCAAATTGCCTGTTAATTTACATAATCTGTGTAATTGTGTACGGATGATAAAAAAAAAAAAAGCTCGAAAAAGAATCACAAAGAGTATCTTGGGAGAAAAAACATCCAAATCGAGATGTTGGCTTAAATCTGACAAATCCTAAGATTACTACTATGAAGATTGATTGACATACCACTTGTAGACATGTTGTTTATCTGCTTAAAAACACCATCTCTACACCCACACACTCACAGGGACAGAGTTCATTCCTCTGCCCCATTGTCTTTGGTTTCTCCCTGACCCCTCATGGTCAAACATTGTGTACCTGTGCCCGCCAGTCTGAGCCAAAGTCAACAACGTTCCCATCCAAAACATCTCACTTTCCTTCTCATCTGCTGTCAACGAGGGGCCTAAAACACACAGACGTCATTCTCTCTGTCCGTCTGCAGCAGAGGGAAGCTACACGTTCGTGCTGCCAAATTGCAATCCACCAAAGACCGAAGACGAAGCGACTTGTAGGAACATGGACGTTATTCTGGGGCCTGAAGCTTGTGATGACCTTAAAATGTCGGATACGATTCTGAGTCCTTATAGTCCGATGATTTCATGTGCCCCATGTCGCGTTGTTAGGGGCTACAGTTCCTGTACCATATTTGTCCGCCCCTCTAATTTCTCTCTACCTCCAAACCGACGCTGCCAGGATAATTACTTTCAAGCTATGCGAGAACACATCTGACTTTATTTCCCGCTTACAGGTAGAAAATAAATCAGGGTTGTCACCGGCGACCTCTTTGATACTTCTGGAACTTGATTAACCGTGTCAGTCGATCAAATCAATGAGATGTCCTTGTTATTAGAGGGAGAAACATTTTGTCAGGGCAACCTTGTTGATGAAGAGTTTAACCTTTTTCCCCCTCTGAGGCTACAGAAGCAATCAAATACACACATGGGTGCACATTTGCTTAAAATACAGCCATGCAGTATGTCATTATAAAAAATACAAAAAACGAATCATCCTCAAGCTTCACTATGAGACAAATATGTAGAATAATAGGCAAAAAAAACTAAGATATACAGAGCAAGAGAAACAGAAACAAAGTGAACATAGCTATGGAGAGAAAGAAACGATGAACAGGGATAGAGCAGATGAAAGAAAGATTAAGAAGTGATAAAAAAGAGGGCATTGGGACTTGTAAAAGATGACTGACAGAGGAGATGACAAAGACAAACAGGGGAACAGATGGAACAGAAACAAAACAGGGAAACATGTGAGGCATTTGGAGGATCCGCTTGAGATTTAATATGTTAAAAGAAAATACCAAAGAGGAACGTTTTTGACTCAAAGTTGAAGAGAAATGAAAGAGATGTCTGTCTCTCACGCCTCGTCTGTAAGTGCATCTTCATATCAAAGGCTGTTCGAGACATTTTGTCCCTTTAAGGGAACTCTCAGAGCTGCCTAATTTGGACCCATTCATCCAAACTCCAGAGCCTTTACAGCCTTAATTTAATTTGTAAGCATATTGAGCCCAACCACTTGGACTCTGGTCTGCTTTAGAGGCAGTCCCATGCCCTCTTTTTCTCTTCTTAATGAATGCAGAGGGATTATTTTCAAAGTGAAACAGAAACGAGGAGGCATGCCTGGGAATATTACTAGAAATAAGAGTGAATTTTACTTTACAGTGAGCATTTTTTTAGTGCATCAATCACAAGACATATTGCACAAAAAGATTGAAGAAAGATGAATGAGGGAAGTTCCCAGCCTGCATTAAATATTGAAATTGTATGAGCAAGGTTTTATCAATGAATGAATAATTCAATCAAAGGCACTGTGGAAGATGTGACAGGGCTAAAACATCTGATTTTAACTTTGTAATGAATGATGATGTACCCGAAGGTGGAAAAGCCTGCAGGGAGAACTGTATGCTTTCAGGCATGAGTCTTTTTTTTAATATTCATGCCTCATACATGCTCCACCATCCTGCTAGTAACAAGTGCATGAAGATAGAAGTAGAAATCCTGTCAGTCTGCATCTTATGATCGCAGTACATGTCTGGTCTGCTTTACAACAGCGCAGCAGAGGTAACTATTACTGCAGACAGGTCGAGGTAAACTAAATAACAAGTACCAGCCCTTCACTTGGAATAGGTATGTGGAAAGACAATGTTATCTGGATGAGTAGACTAGAGCGTTAAGAGACTAAGACAGTGCACCATCCACACAAACACACAGCAGGAAGTTGTCATTCTGTGTGTTTGTCCTGTCTGTCAAGTACCAGAATACTTATCTTTAAACTCTTCAATATACACTCAAATTATTATTTCATTGTATGTTACATTAAATATCTACCTCAACTCCTGATGCCTACTTTTGTTCTTAAAGCTCCTGTGAGGAGCCTATAGTTAGGATCAATTTTGGCGCCCTCTGTTGACAAGTTGGTACCCGAATTCACATTAATGATTTTCTCCTGACCTTTTAACAGTCAAGTGTATCACTTGTTGTGAAGATTTGCTTTGGAAAATGCAAAAAGAAGAAATGATGTTTCTGCAGCGTGCTGTAACTCACTTTGTTTGACACCTACCCCGCAGCAGAGGAGACAAGCATTCGAAAATAAAAATATATACAAGATTAGACTGCTCACTAACGGTCTTTTCTGCTTTTTATACATCGTAAAAAGTCATTGCTATTAATTTCAGTCTGTTTCAAAACCAGCTGAAAACTCCTCACAGGAGCTTTAACTGATCACACTTGTATTGTTATTTTGTAAGCTTCTGTTACTCTAAATTCAGAGCACTAGAATATCCTTTGGGATTAATAAAGTTAAACTTTGTCTAATCGTCTTTGATTTCTGATTTGTGTAATGGGCATACAGATGTGCTTCAAGCTGATTATGTAAGGATGCGATACGGTTTTTCACTACAGGTATAGAATTAATAATGTAGAGGGCAGAAAGCTTGTGCTCCTCTCAAGGAGCACTCTTACTTTAAATATTCTACTCAGCCTATAACTCCTTTCAGGATGTGCTGGACATGCTGTTAAAAGTGCATTTTCCTCTGTACACTATTAGTATTATAAGAGTGTCCCATAAGGTGCAAAAAGATACAGCCAGGGTCAAACTTTACATACTGCGAGTTTAACAGCTGAACCTCTATTTCTCTTCTGCCAAAGTCATTTAATATTGAAGGCAAACCTCCTTTTTATACTCCTATTCAAAGCATCACTAGTTGGTTTTGAACACTAGAGGTTTAGGTCACAACATTTTCTACACATTTTTAAAACGTTACACTCTGTTATTTTAGTTATCGATAGTACTGAAAACTACATATCTACAGTCTTATTTTCAACACAAAGAGAAACTTTCTAAATCTACGTCAATACCCTGGTAACATTTTGAATCATTACCAGTGTATTTGTGTAATTTAGACAGTTTGCAGAAATTTGCTTGAAATTTTTGGAAATTAAAAACAGGAAATAATGCCTCTGACTTTTATATTTGTTGGTATTGAAGCAGGTTTAAAATCCCAGTATCGTGACAACCCTACCAGAGGAACTATATTTTTCCCCAACTGCTCCTTGTTTTTTTTTGCTCAGACACACCTGAGGCAGCCTACATCCAATGCAGAGGTGGCACAGCCCGTGGATAGTGTGCATCACACCTCCTCCACCTCCTCCTCTTCCTCCAACTCCTTCTCCACCGTTCAGGTCTGCAGCCAGCACACACACACTGCGTCGGTGACTCTCCACCTGGCCGGCCCCTCTGCAGCCCGAGTATCTCCACAGCCTCCTCTGAGCGGCCGAGTGTGTGCTCCTTGGACTGCGCTCCGACGGCTGGGTGGACTTCAGTGTGTTATGAATCATGTCAACAGTTTTAGCGAACCAGTCCAGTTTACAGATCAAAGTCCAGTTGAGGTGATTTGAGTTAATACTGGGTCTTCACTCGCTTGAAAACAGACAAGAATCTGTCGTGTGTAACAAAAATAAAAGCGTCCATGGAGACTTTCTTTTCCAGCAAAGCAGGCCTTCGATGTACATCAATTTTCCTAAATCATTCCAGATTTCATTTTCTCGTGTCACTGCCACTGACCTCCAACTTTACCGCTCCCCTTCAAGTTCTGTTGGAAACGGTTCCAGTCATTGAGAGACAATTCTGTGCGCAAGTTTTTCATGACTCTGTACCTGCCATCTCCTCAAAAAGCCTCACGTCGTCCTCTTGACTCCTTTAAAAACTTCACTTTCGTCCTTCCCTCTTCTGTCCCTTAGATGTCTTTTTCTCTTTTGTCTTCTTGCATTTGCTCTATTCTGTCACCCGCCGTGCAGCTTCTCGCTCCGTAACCCGAACAGCAGCAGCAGCAGCAGCAGCAGCCGCTCCTGAGATCAGCTGTGTGAGAGTGTGTAAGGCGGCGTCATGTAGGCGAGACTGGCGCTGGCTCGGCCTGCTCGGGCCACACTGTAGCTCCTGGCAGGGGCGCTCATGGGAACTCTTCAACAGCAAAAGAATAGGAGGAAGTGCCTCCCACCATCACCACCAACTCCCCCACCACCATCCCCTCCACACACACACACACACACATACATACACTTATGCATACCTCGCCATCCCACAGCCAGGACAGCTTTGTGTGTCTGCCCCCGATAAGGCCCGTTTGCTTCCTGAGTCCACACTATGAAGCTGTGAGAGGTGCTACAGCTCTCAGTCATTTACAAATATACACTGTGGTGACTAATGTAGGTGGCTACATGTGAAAAAGACATGAATAAGAGAGAGAAAGGCAGGATTTTTAATGAGATTGTATGGGCCGATCTGCGTCTGCAAACAGCGGACCTAAACTCCAGTCTGTACTTACACCATAAACTTTAACTTTTACAATTGCTCACAACTTTAAAGACGAAGTTTAGCAAACAAAACGAGGAATGACAACTTTACTTTTTGGGCACAAACACACACCTCATCCAGCATTCACACCTCATCAGACTCTTTCCACCTTCGCTCCCACACTCCCTATACTCCGTCCAGACAATATGCTTGTTTGTTATGTTTTGTACTTCCATATTTCCTCTGCTTTTCCTTTCAGCTTACCCCCCCCCCCCCTCCTCCTCACCCCCCAACTACACCATGTGGAAATTCACAGGCCCTCCCCCCTCCTCCTCCTCCTCTTCCAGTTATCCAAACATTGCTTTTATTTGTGTTTTTAATATCTGTGCGAGTGTGCGCCTGGGAAAGAGGTGAGGAAAAACACAACAAATACCTCAACCGCAGTGCATAAACAGCTTGTTTAATTGGAGCTAAAACAGTGGCCAATCTAACCCTTAGCAACCCCATTAATTCCCGGCTTGTGTCTTTTCCTTCTTTAACGTTTGGATGTCTGGCTCGAGGAATGAAACATGGACAGAGAAGTGACAGAGAAAGAGAGAGAGGGTGAAAGAGGAGCGATGCTGCACTAGTCTCTACAACGCTAATAAAGTGGCAGAAAAGACCGTTGTCTTAAGATCCCTTCATGCAAGTCGTAATGGCAGCTTTTCCCTGTTTGCCTTTTCAAAAGGGCGAGGGTTACCCGTCAAGCACACAAAAAACACTTTCTCTCCCTTTCATGCTGCGCTGTTCACCTCTAAATAGGCAGAAGGACGGATTAGAGGGAGAGAAGAAAGGGGGAGAAGAAAGCATGTCTTAGGGAGAGGAGTGAAAGAAGAGTTTGAAAAGCTTGTCTAGGAGCCAGACGAGGCCAATCTGTGGTTTAATAGTGTGGGATCTCTCTCTCTCTCCTTCTGTCTCTTTCGCTCTCGCTCTCTTTTTCTGACCTGAATAAACAGCTATCAAAGGAGGAGGCATCTTCCAAGCCAGTGAACACAAGATGGGTCCAAGGCCAAGTTCAGGGTCACAGCTCAGGCTGTACTTAAAATCCAAACCGTGGAAGCTGGGCATATGGCTTCAGTACAGTGAGAGCAATTTCAAGGTGATATTTTGCATAATATGAGACAGAGAGATGAAGGCAAACATAACAGAGAAGCCCCGTGTGTTTAGCCTTTAGACTGCTGCAGGTGGACAAAGTGAGATCTAATGCTAAGAAGAACCTCTGACTCATTTGAATTCAACTTGAATTGCAACGTCAGTGCATTTTGAAGTTACTAAACTGGTCAAGACTAATGAAAAAAACTGACAAAATAGTTGAAATATAAACAGTAGGGTAACAGCGGGGGACTGATGTACACAGAAACTGTGAAGATATAAAAATTAAACTGTAATATGAATAAAATGACATTAAGTGTTACAATAAAATAAATGGCAGTGGCTCTGTTCTCTTTGGCCTAGTGGTGCTTTTAGCTAAATGCTAACATCAGCATGATAACGTGCTGACAAAGATAATGTTAACATCTGATAACTGTGATTAATGTTTAAGGTTGTTTAACTCCGTCACCTCATTAGGTTGCAGTTTTTTTTCCATCAGTGTGACATAATAGTATCTCACATAACATGTTGTTTGTAACCTGGTCAGACACATAGAACAGTGAGCACATTAACGGTCCTGGATGTTTGTCTCACCTAATGCAAAAATTGAATAACTTTAGTACTTTAGTAAAAGTACAGTTGCTGCTGTAATACTGCACTGACGAGAATAGGATCGACAAGACTGTCGTTGGACCACCAAAGTCTCGTCAGTTCATCCATGAATCAAGGTGAACCTGTAACTCAAAGATGTTCTTTCTTGCATGCGTTCCTTAGACACCAAGCTCTCCAGAATGATACAGGAATGATTGACATGACGGTGTTTCTCTGAGGACATTGTGACGTCAGAATGAATTTTACTTTAAACTCTATGGGACAAACATTGTTGCCTTCCTATTTCATCCAATTAAAGCATTTTTGGGAGCACATAAAGTTTTTGAATTACTGACACCAAAAATTATAAGCAGCAAGAATGAGACTGACTGACAGATGGTTGAATAAACTGGAAGATGAAAAGACACCAGCTGAAAAACGCAATCAGCTCTGGCGTTGGCTCAAACGGGCACTAGGGCATAAAAAGCAGATGTATTTTCAACGGTAAACATTGTTGTTTAACATGTTTTCAGATATCTCAACATAAGCTGACTGGCAAAAAAACAAAGAGTGAGGCTGACGGAACTATCATTACTTTATAATCGATTACAAAAGTATCATGTTGAGCTCAAAGGTAAAAAGTGAGACAGCACCTTTGTGGTTGATCATCAGTGGTTGTGGAATCATTTGACAAATTTCAATCATTAAGTAGTTGCTTCAGGAGAGTCATTTGCATTAATCATCTGAGAGAAAATTAATGTCTGTTTAAAATCTTTATTGGAATAGAACTATTTGTGACTAGGATCATTCACTTATGGCCAACCAAAGTAGTGGACTGGATAGATGACAGACTAACTTTGACATCTATAGAGCTTTAAAGCCGTTGAGGAGGACAAACCTCCCTAAAAAGCCTCCCATTCACCCGTGCACACATATTACCATCGATCGCAGTGGATCTGCCAGGCAAGGCGCCGGCCATCTGGAGCTTTCTGGGGTTCAGGGTCTTGCTCTAGGACATAGTCGTGGGGAGGAGGTAGGCAGAGATCGAACCACCTTGCGATTGATGGGCTAATCACTCGCCCACCTGAGCCACAGCAGACTGTGCAACGTGATAAACACTGTATAATTGTAGCTAAGTGCATTCAATCTTCTGAGGCTAATGATAAGCACTCATTCATCTTACATCTCAGCAGAATATGAGCTGCCATGATCCCCCCGGCCTTAAAATTCTCACAAAGAAAAATGTTCTGGCAATAAAATCAGCCATTCTTCATTTATTCTGTGACGCCAGCCAGAAGCTGTGCGTCCTCTTTTCAGCTCACTTCACCCTTCCTTACCATCTTTCCCGTCAGACACATTTTCACACCAACAGTGTGGGAGCTAATGCTAGCTGACAAGCAGAGTGATGCAGGAGGACAGATTGTCTGGGGTGTAACTTTGGTTAATATTCATGAACTCTGCTCACTGTCAATAAAATGAGCGGATAGTTCAGTGTTTTTTGGCCTGTAAACATGACTTACAAATGCTGACATGGCAACTAAGGAGAGGAATTCTTGTTCTGCTGACATAGAAAATCTATAATTGCTGGTTCAGAACTGTAATGTCGAAGGGGTTTTTTCTACATGCTAGATTAACAGTTAATGGCGCTCTTTAACATGCTAGTATATCTGCATTTACTTAAACTTTACCAGGTAAATTAAACATATTATGGAATGTAATACCTATTATTAAAGATCATGCAAACAATGGCCAATATATATTTTGAAAATAATAAAAAAGGCCTTGCTATATCACCCTGAAGCTATTTTATATTATTTTACAGAACAAATTTCGTCTCTTTGACTACGACTATAGTGTTTATTAAAACACCACATATTTTTCAGCCGACATTATTTCTAAAAAGTTCAGCACCAGAACAAATTCTTTGAAAAATTGAAGAAGTTTCAGGCCAGTCGGGAAGAAGGAAATAATTTGATTGGTGTGACATTTTTAAAGCACAATTACTCCCAAGGTGGCAATTATAAAAAAAAATAAAAATGGAGAGCAATAATTAAGCAAAGAAAATTCTGTAAAAAGCTGTAAAAGTGTAGCGAGCGGAGAGTAAAATGCTCTTTAAAATAGCCTTGTGGTATTCTGAGGGACATTCCTTTGTGGAAGTCAAGTATCATCTTCAGCAAGTGTCCAAAGCTCTGCGTGAATCACTGAAATTATTTGTGTGTAAGGTCGTCTTCAAACACTGGAGATGTTTGAGGAGGTAAAGAGTAGGCCGTTAATGACACCACAGAGCTCCTTGTGAAGTGGGGGCGATGGCCATGGGGTGACAGAGGGGGAAAAGGGTAGGGGAAAAGAGTGGAGGAGGAAGAGGAGGAGGAGGAGGAGGAGGAAGAGGCCACAACAGCAGAGGAGGAAATATGCAGCGGTCTGGAAGAGTGCGAGGACAAGGCAACAGGAAAAAAAAAAAGCAGACAGAAAAGTCGAGATAGTCTAAAAGGTTTTCCATTCTCTGTTAATTTAGTCTGTGAATGTGCCCCCCCACCCATGCTCCATCTCCCCCCCTTTCCTTAACTCTCCCCTGAGACTTCCCCACACAAACCACACAATCATCTGTTCCTCTGATTCACCCAGAGATAGAAAGTAAGAGAGAGAACAAAAAGAAGAGGGGAGGGGCGTAAGGAAACGGGCATTCACAAATACGGAAGTTACTTTTTCCATCTCTCATCATTACTGGCCTCTCGAACTTTCATAAGACTTCAAAAGCAGCTCAGACACTCGGCATATACTCGATATGGAATGTTTTTTTTGCCAGTAATGTAAGAAATGTTTATATTCTGTCTGAATTATACAGAAAAAAACATTTGGCTTATAAGAGAAAGAAAATAAAGGTCCAGGGTCAAATGGCAC